GGATTCTTTCACCATGTCATCCGCGGTTAGGACAAATCAAAATTGCAAAACCTGATCCAGCTTTTTGGTTTGGACCATTCCGCAGCACTATTCCCAATAATAAATAATCAATTAATAAATGGGAAAGTGGCATCAGGCAGATGTGCTTTGCTGTCCCGGGATCTTTCTGCAGAGCTCACCGGCAGATCCCTGTGGACTCTACCCCTTCCTTGGGACTTGGGGTCCCTGTGCTGGCTCTGCTGGGCCCTCTGGGGTGCTACACTGACTTTGGCACAGTGGGACTCTTTCACTGACATCTTGATTTGTTGCTAGGTAGTAGGAGACGTTGTGAGGAAAGCAGGCTTCTGGGCTTATCTGGGTAGGTAATAATTCTTTATCTAGGTTTGTGAAGTGCTTTGAGATCCGAGGCCACAAAGGTCTGCGTGAAGAGCTGGTGTTTTTTATTGCACCACCTCAGTGTGATAACTTCCTCCACCTCGGGAAGGTTGGGCTGCTTTGCCTTCCTTTCCCACCCTCTCACTCCCAGTCCCTTCTGCTGGGTGAAGAAACTGACTGTGGCTGAGGTTCTCTGCTTTCCCTTTTGTCTCCAGACTAATCACTGGAGCTTCATCTAGGGAAATATTATTTAGCAGGCTTCTATCATCAAGAGTGTAAATCTGGAAAAACCTGAAAAAAATCCTGCTTGGTGAATAGACAGAGGGTGGAAAGCTCTGCCCTAGGAAGGATCAGGCAGATGACTGCAGCAGCTTTCTGCTCGCTGAGGATCTTTCCATTTCAGGCTGGTGTTCCACAACTGCCCAGAGCCTGAGGTCAGGGTTAGAGCCTCAGCCCTTGCTGCCAGCTTCCCACAGTGCAGGGCCATATTCTGGCAGGAGGCCTGAGTTGATTCAGCAGCTTAGCAAATGTTATAGCTCCAGGTCCTGCACAGCTACCCAGTGCTCCTTTCCACTGCAGAGGCTTTCCCAGGGTGCGGTTGAACATGTGGATGTTCTCCTCAGCTGGCTGTGATGGAGTTGGGCAGTGCTGTGGCAGGGCACAGCTCCATCACACTGCAGAGAAGTGTGTTGGGAGCTGTCTGTGCCTCTTCGAAGCCCTTTCTCCACTAAGATTATATCATTTGCACTTGAGGCTGCTCTGAGCTTTCAGCTGCCTGTGGTGACTTCTGCAAGAACCCAACCAAGTGCAGTGAGATGATATATCAGTGCTCATCATCTGCAGTGAATCAGAGGAAACTCTCCCTGACTGTTTTGTGGGAAGAGGGTGCTCACGGGATGCCTCCCCAGCTCTGTTTTCTGGTCCAGGGGGCACCTGCATGCATCAGAGGTGATTTGGATGTTACTCATGGAAAAATGGCAGAGGTTGGGGCCAGATGATCCTCCTGGTGCATCCAGGGGTGCAGTGAGCCAGTGGAATGGCAATTCTGTCCCTCTTCCCTGCTAACCTCTGTTAGCATGTGGGCAGAAGTGCTTCTGAAGCAGTCCCTGCTCAAGTCAGCTTTCAGCTGCTTCTCCTCAGCCCAGCAGTGCTGGGACAGCTCAGTAGCTGCTGCTGGGCATCCCACAGTCCCCAGGGAGCCAACAGCACCTGCCAGGCACGAGGCTGTTGAGGCAGGAATTGGGGAAGTCACAGGACAGAGAAGTCACCATGGTGATGTCCCTACTGCTGGTGCCTGGTGGCCTATCACAGCAGCATCCAAGTGTGTTGCTGTTGGGGGTCTTTACTGCTGTGGTTCCCCTGTGAGCTGAGACCTGCAGTGGTCAAGGTACAGAGCAGAAAGTGCCTTGCACAGGAGGTGTGTGGTGGCCCTGGCACTGCCTCCTCCCCAGCACAGCATTTGCCCTTGCTCCAAGGGTGGCCTTGCTCTAGCAGCTCCCTGGAGAGCTGGTGGCACCAGCAGGAGGGAGAGGATGGTTTGTAGGAGCTGTTAGTGTCTGGGCCACTGCCAAGGACAGGTATGGAAATGTGTAAAACAACCATGAGGTGTCTGCTCGTCCTGGGTGGTATCAAAGACTTGTGTTCATCGGTGTGCCAGAGACCTGTCTGTGTCTGAGCACTGGCTGGGAGGTGGAGCAGGATGCCGTGGTGGACCAGAAGGAGGGACTTTTCTCATGGCATGGTGGCTTCTTCTGACTGAGATGTCACATTGCCTGCTGTCTCCTGAGCCTGAGTCTGCCTCCTGTCATTGAACCGATGCGAATGTGGCAGCACAGGCAGCCCTGGTGCAGTGCAGCCTTCCCAGACCTCATGGCCTTCAAGATGCAGGGTGGCTCCCACAGCCACAGCTGCCCTCTCTTGCCCCATATCCCTCCCTCACCATGTCTTTGTGCTTCAGCTGAGGAAACTTACAGAGCAGAGGTCAGCGGTGTGCCAGCCCAGGTGATGACAGGTACCCTGTCCTGACACTCACAGCCCTTCACAGGGGGGAACGTGCCAGACCTGAGCCAGGCAGCTCTGGTGCCTGTGTGCCTGACTGTGGGAGGAGTGCGGGTGCCTGGCAGATAGATGGGGAGCAGTCCTGAGGAAGGGGTGTTTTCCCCAGCTCCCTGCCATTGCTTGCTAGCTCCCTGCTGCTCTTGTTGGAAAAGGAACTCTCAAGGAAACCTGTGTGTGGGCAGTGGCTGAGCTGTGGAAGTGAGGGGGTGGCATGAGACAGGGGGTGCCGGGCACTGGGACCCGGGCAGGCAGGGAGGAGCAGCAGGCTGCCTGGGGATGTGCTGCCTTGGCACCATGGTTTGGGGTGTCAGGGTATCAGGGTGCTGCTCTGTCAGCTCAGCCAGCAACACATTGGCCTTGCTCAGCTGTGGCCCCAGGTCTGGGTTTCTGCTGAGAGTAGGTGGTACAAGGCTTGTGTGGACCTCACTGCAGGTACCCAGGGAATTCCTGCCCTGGTGACAGGCAGGAGGTGTCTGATCCAGCCTGGAACCTGCCAGTATGAACTTAATCTGCAAAAATAGGTTATGCATGGATTTGCATCAGTGCCATGTGTTTGTCGTAGATTAGTCTTTTGCAGGATAGGATGTTGGGGGTTTAACAAAATTTTGGAGAAACTACAGCCTGATTTACTCCATGGTTACATCACAGGCATGGGGTCTGGGGGGGATGTCCACATGGCCAAGCCCGTTACCAAGCAGGAGCTGCCTTCAGGAGGAGTGGGGTTCTGGCAGAGCTGGTGCCACCTAAGTGCCAGGTGTCCCACGAGGGCAGGCAATATCACTAATAGTTTAGTTGCCCCTGCTGGGACTGGACCAGCTTTGCCTGGAAGCTGCTTGCTCTCTGTAGAAGATGAGAGCAAAAGATGACGCCAAGGTCTGTTGCCAGCCTGGCGCAGCCGAGTCCTGTCCTGCCTGGACAAAGATGGCAGCAGGTGCTCAGGCTGCTGCTTGTTTGCTAGACCAACCTGTGGATTGTCCTGCAGAAGTGCCCCAGGGAGGTTTTGATTGCAAGTGGCTGGTGACCTCATGCCTTCCTCTGTTCCAGGTGGTGATGCGAAGTCTGCTGGGCAGTCCCAGGGGGATGGCAGCCACCCAGGGGCTGGGGACACTCGGAGGCATCAGAGGGGCCGTGCAGAACACCGAAGACACACCATCACCAACGGTGTGGACTTCAGCATGGTAAGGGACAGCCCTGTCCTGGGCTCCCATGAAGGTGAAGGTGGATTGCAGGGGTCCCTCGCTGCTGACGCCATCTCTGGGCTGTGGCTTCCCACGCTGCATATGTGAGGAGTGTGGCATCATGCAGGTGATACAAAGCTCTGTTGACATACGTGAAAGTTCTGCCATTACTTCCAAGGCACTCTCGAACCCAAATCATACCAGACAGGGAGGACGTGTGTGTTCCCTGCCTTCCCCCTCAATGGGGTCAGCACATGGGACCAGTGTTTGACTGCATAGCTCCCTGCCCCGTGGGCAAGGTCTTGGGCAGGGAAAGGTAAAGGTGGAGGTGTGGAAGTGCATGGGTCTCTGGGCCTTTCAAGCGTCCCAGTGAGGGCCAGGTATGCTCTGCACTGGCAAGCAGTGGGGCTGGGATGTGCCCCCTCCCAGATGTTCCCTGGAGGTCAGGGCTAAGCATGCTGATCCTCCTGGTTCCTGAGAGACTTTTTGCCAGCCAAGCAAAGAAATCCACATTGAATTTAGCCAGGCAAACCAGGAGGATCTGCTTCCCTCTCTCCATCCCTCCGTGGAGAGGCTTGGATCAGATTGCCTGGGGGA